CACCACTAATTTTTCCCACTTCTCTTATCGTGTTGTCCAATCTTTCTCCCCCTCCCCTTCCATCTCGCTCCCCTCGCTTTCACTCTTGCATCTCTTTACCACTCTCATTTCTCCTCTATTATTCTCCCTCAGCCCCTTTCCGCTCTCTCTCTCCCCCTCACCACCTTTACTCTTTTCTTCTTGTCCTCCTCTGGGCCTTTGTTATCCATCCTTCCACCTTTATCTCTTAATTTTTCTGTTATCACAAATCTTTCCATCACTATCCCTTACGCCGTAATTGGACTCTCTAATTCTACTCGTGATTCCACCTTTATCCCCTGTCTTACCTTTTCTGTCTCCGCCTTTCCTTCTTACCGCCCCTCCTCTCTACCTGCCTTTCTCGCTCCTGATTTTCTCTCTTAACCTCAACTTTTCTTTTTTCTTTATTCCCCTCTCTCTGCTTTTTCCTGCTCTTCTGCAAGCCTCTCTCTCTCTCTCTGTCTACTCCACTCCTCTTCCGCCTCCACTCTCTTTTCACGTCTATTTCTCTCCTCAAACACTTTTCCTCTTTAACTTTCTCACCAAAACTCGCACTCACATCCAAGACACGTCCACACTCTTCCACCGGCCTTCCTCTCCTCTCGAGCTCTCTAAGTATATATTCGTATATGTTTGTTTTTTCAAGTTGGAGCCGTGATTCACTAAAGTTTCGTATTCTCGTCGCGTTAAGTGTAGTACAACCGTTTAATAACTATTCTAATTTCGAGAAGAAAATGGTGTTATATATATATTATGTTTATAAAATAAACTTTTATGCGTCTTTTACATGAATGTATTTTCATCAGACCTTATTTAGTCAGGAATACTTTTAGAAAAGATTTTTTTATCACTTTAGAGCAATCAATAAATCATACTGAAACTTCAGAGTTGATTTTATGTCCAGAGAACACATTGGTACACGTGTTTTGACTTCAAATTTCGAACGTAGAAAGCATCTGACATTGACGTTAATATTTTAAAGATCACACGTCTTTTTATAGTCAATAGCGTTTCGATAATTACTAGAATTCATACTTTGCAAATCGAGCATTCTTCTGTTAATCTGCGTGCTTTAACATAATACACGCGTTAATATTAATGATTTAATAAATAAATCAATTTAATAAGCAACTTCATAAATTATAGCTTTTATAGTATACATATACAGATGTTACATCTATATAATATAAATGGGTAACGTAGATATATCACTATGCTTTTGTTTATATAATAAATAAAGATATATCACTATACTTTTGTTTATATAGAAAACTAATTAACACTATTGCATAAGAGTTAACAGCCATTGCCTTAATTCACGTATATGCCACTCTTATAAATTATTTTCTCCTTTATTAATAATATTACTTCGATCGTTTGCATAATTATGTAAAAAAACGAAAAAATTCCATTATATCCGTCTTGTTGATTTTACAAAATTAAAAGACACGTATTTTTTCTTTTTTCGATTAATAGAAAATTGACTGAGTTACGGCGTGCCAAAGGTACTCACGACTATTCGGATATCCTCGTATGCAAATGCTATGTTATCGTGATGTCACGGAAAGCTTTATCGCGCTCTTTCTCGGCCAGTTTTTGATTGATTAAATAAACAAAAAATACGTGTCTTTTATTTTTTAAACATCTACAAGACGTTGCCTTTTATCAAGCCACTTGTGAAGAAATAAATTAGGCAATGCAATGCACTCTATCATTATTTTGGCAAATAAAATTCTATTTTTATCGTGAAAATATATACGAGGTGTGATCAAAAAGTAAGGTGAATTTTGAAATTTAGCGGGCTACGTCCGTTCGATCTTCGACTTTTTTATTTGGTTATGTCTGTACACTCGTCTAGAACATACGTTCCAAATTTCAGCTTTGTAGTATGTTTGGTTTGTTTGTTAGAGGCATCAAGGTTAGAAGTGTTTTGCGTGCTCCACGATTTGCTGCTGTCTAAAAACATGGATTAAAGAGTTTGCATTAAATTTTGTGTGAAAAATGGAATCAAATGTTCCAAAACACTTGAAATGCTGAAAGTGACATACGGTGAGTCTACTTTAAGCCAAAAAAATGTTTACAAGTGGTATAAACTCTTCCAAGAAGGCCGAGAAGACACCGACGACGAACCTCGTTCTGGACGCCCCAGCACATCAACAACTGATGAGAATGTTGAAGAAGTGAAGAAAATAGTGTTGGAAAATCGTCGAATTACCATTAGAAAAATTGCTGATGATATTGGCATCTCATTTGGTTCGTGCCAATCAATTTTGACGAGTGTTTTAGACATGAGACGTGTGTCAGCGAAGTTTGTTCCGAAATTGCTCAATTTCGACCAAAAGAAACGTCGCATGAGCATCGCCCAAGAGCTACTGAATGACGTCAACGATGATCCAGATTTACTCAACAGGGTTATAACAGGTGACGAAACATGGGTATATGGTTATGACGTCGAGACTAAGACTCAATCGTCCCAGTGGAGGCATTCTGGATCACCAAGACCAAAAAAGCACGCCAAGTTCGATCAAATGTAAAGGTTTTGCTTACAGTTTTCTTTGACTGCAGGGGCGTGGTGCATCATGAGTTCTTGCCACAGGGTAGAACAGTAAATAAGGAATATTACCTGCAAGTTATGCGCAATTTGCGCGAAGCAATCCGCCAGAAACGTCCGAATTTGTGGAAAAATAAAAATTGGCTTTTGCACCATGATAACGCCCCTGCTCACACATCGTTGCTTGTGCGCGAATTTTTGGCTAAAACCAACACAGTAACGATGCCACAGGCACCGTATTCCCCAGATCTGGCCCCCTGTGACTTCTTCTTGTTCCCAAAACTGAAGAGGCCCATGAAAGGACGACGTTTTGTCACGATTGAGGAGATAAAGACGGCATCGAAGGATGAACTAAATAAGATCACAAAAAATTATTTTTTGAAATGCTTTGAGGATTGGAAAAAGCGTTGGCACAAGTGCATTATATCCGAGGGGGATTACTTTGATAAGAGATAAAATAAAAATTGATGAATAAATAAATATTTTTTGAGAAAAATAAAAATTCACCTTACTTTTTGATCCCACCTCGTAAATGTCAAAGTCATGTATATTTAAAAAAGAAAGAAAGTTCTAAGTGTGGATGAAGGAACTGAGCGTAAAATTGATGAAAATTGACGTAGAAAAATTATTTAAAAACTGCACATGATTGTGAAAGACCAATAAAACTTATTAACAATTACGCGCATTTTAGTTTTTGTTCTTAAAAAAAAATTTTTTTAAATTGAACATTCTGAGATCAGTAGAAACTGAATCTATGTAGCATGTTGATTCAATTTTTATAGATATAAATGGGCTTAATAGTTAGGAAAATTCCGCGCACTTTTCTATCCAATCAAAATATTATAACCGTTCAAGAAATAAATATTATTTCTCATTACAATTATGTACCTGAAAAAGATCAGTCGGTAGTATAAATTAACACTTTTGTGTGATAATACCCTGTCAAAAGGACTGCATTCTCATACCCAGATAATTAATAAGAGCTGTATAAATAGACATGAGTTATTTTCTGAAAGAACCTTTATAAATTATATCTAAAAAAAGTTAAAACCAAAGGAAAAACATAACATTGAGTAGGAATTGAACCCAACTCGAGACGTCGGTCTAACTTCATACTTAATGAAGTTAGAATTTATATTGAAATTATAAATATAAAAATTATGATGTATATCATAATATATTAGATTATTAAAGTTGAATTAACTTTTATTAAAGTTATATATTCATTCACTTAATGCAATGGCAAGAACGGAATAAATGGAAAATAATAAGAAAACTTATGATTGTACTTTTTATTAATCTCGTCATCATACAAATTAATTGTGAGTTAATTGTGAGAAAAAAAGGTATCTATGTAGACTGGAACCCGGGACGACAAAAATGAAACCAAGCAGCACGCGTTAGCCATCTCGGCTATCAACGCACTAGGATCGTGTAGTACGAAAGTTACATATGTTCATAGAAATGTACGAGGGTTTGTAATTAAAAAAGGGGCTTAAGTTGTAGATATTTACTGTAATAATTAAGATATTTCGAGATATTCAATTATGCACAATAAAAAAAAAATTGCATCGAGTGGGAATTGAAGCCTTTATTCTGGTCGAAGAGAAAAAATTTGCCGAGACGAAATTCTCTTCGAGTGCTCAGACTCGCACTCTTGCTTCGCCTCGCCCATCGGTTAACGTGATTATGGTCAGACGCACATTCTCTTATTCTCCTCTGTATATTAGACGCACGTTTGGTATTCCCCTCTCGCGCCGAACGAAAATGTACGTCAGCTTCGGTGCTTTGGCCACTACGGAGCGCTCGAACCAGTAACATTGGTCGGGCACGCTCGGAAGCATTGCCGTCAGCAATCTCCCTACTAATCTCTGGTAAAAGTTGCTGAAGTGGATTTTACGGTACTCTGATTAATAAATAAATATTCAATAAAATAAATAACATAATTATATTGTAAATACAATATAAATCTGATGATTAATTATATATGTGAAATACTTTAATGTAATCAATTTAAGAAAATAGCTGAGACGGTGAAGTATGATTGGAAAACAAGAAATCTTGGTTTTAAGCCACGATCAATCCACTACTTTTTTTCTCTTTTCTTATTAATATTAATATTTTAATGTACTAAAAAGCTATTTAAATCAATAATTATATAAAAAAGGTGATTTTTATAAATAATGTAATAAAAATTCATCTAAATTTGATAGAAAACCTACCTGGATTTATTAAAAATCTATTTGGATTCAGTTGGAAATTCTCCCTAAAAATCTAATAGAATCCACGCGGAATCTATATCTAATTACATGGAAATCATACTGAATTTCCAGCTGCATTTTTCCAGTAAAGATAAGAAGTATTATGTAATAAATGTAGTTCACAATTAATTCCTGGATTCCACTAATAAAATTATTATAAACATTAATAGGATGGCAGTTCAAACGGCATATCTACCGAAAGATGTAGATTAGCGAGTACTCGCGGCGAGCACGACGGCCTAAATGGTTTGCAAAACATTGGAAATACGGTACGTTACACAACTTATTTGAATAATTAAACTATAGACTATATATATGTTTATTGATTAGCAACTTATCAATTTCTGCTTTGTCTTTATCAATAATATAAAACTCGTGAGACCGGATGACAAATCGCTTATGAGGGAGTAGAGCAATCTGCAAAATTATCTTAAAACGACTGAATAATTCATTTTCTTTTATTTTCCATAATATTCTATGACTATATTCACTGAAGGCGATCAGTTAGATTAGAAGTAAAATTATTTGCAATATACTTGAATACATATTGGAAAAGTATTATTATTTATATATGCAATGTTTGAAATAATTAATTTCTTATGTACCTTGTATAGTATAGATAATATCAGATGTGATACAAACTTTTATAATTCTTCTAACTATGAATTATGCAATTATTTTATAAAACTATATCATAATATTCACTGGAAGTATGAATTAAAAATAGAATCTAATTAATTTAAAAATTTAGCATAAGTAAACAACCGATCGAAACGTGTAGTCGAATTGTTAGTACTACCAGAAATACACTTTACATTCATTAATAAACTTGAATAACGTACAGAAAATTTCAAATACACTTTTGAATATTACTAAACGAAGTTTACGATGTTGTTATCCTATTAATGTTTCAGGCATACGTCCGTACAAACGGAATGTCTTGAATATATAATTTCTATTTCTACTGCTATAATGACATAAGTCAAAAGAAATGCTGTTAAAAGTTTGTGTAATGCAGTGATTACTCCCTATAAAAATGATTTCATATATAACCGTTATTATTATTAAGTACCAAATTTGAAAGTTAAGATAATCAGAATGCTACTTATAAAAATAACTAAACAAAATATATTTTTTTATATTTGTAATTATTTAAATTATATTATAAAATTTTTCAAATCTACTCTTTGAGCTTTGACATTGCGCTTATTTTAGTTTATTGATTAACTTATTGAAAATTGTAATTGATCTATATATCATTAATACGAGAGTTTGATTGTATTATGATATTTGAGTACTCATGTTTCTAGTGTTGCTACATACATTTAAGATTCAAGATTTTATAAAGATAGCAAAGAAATCGATTAAAGTGCAAAGGTTTGATCGAATTTTAATAAATAATCATGTATTACAAAACTATTATTACTTATTATTTTTGTTATCCCGTTTGGTTTGTTTTGTAACAGGAAAAATTTAGTTAGACAAGCATTTTCTCACGAATGAATACCTTAATTTATAACACTATCGAAACAAATTTGACAAATAATCATCATAGTTTTTATACTCATAAACGTAAAAAATTTATACAAGGATTGTTAAATAAGTGCTTAAAAAAGATATAAAAATCTTATTTAATCATTTTTTTTATTTCTCAATATATTTTTCTTTTAGCTCTATATCCATGTCTTCAAGCATTTTTCTAAAGTATTAAAACCATTCAAAAAGTAGAATTTCAGAAGCTTCTCAAAATAGGCATTTGTTTAGCCTTAGTAGTAAGGGCTATAAGGGTTGGGTTCTAAGCCACTTTTACCATGCGAGTTTTTATTCCTTTCTTACCAGCAGTCGGTAACGTTATCAATCCAATGTTACCAACCTATGGGATGTTTTATCGGCAGGTTTTTTATCGATGATGGACTTATTTGACTGGCATTATAGCCGACCGTTGTGTGTGTGCGTGTGTACGTGTGTGTGTGTGTGTGTGTGTGTGTGTGTGTGTGTGTGTGTGTGTGTGTGTGTGTGTGTGTGTGTGTGTGTGTGTACGTGTGTGTGTGTGTGCCGATATGCAGGTCCCGCCGGTAGTTACCGACTCTTGCATCGACGTGGATGGATGCCCCCGGCCTCATGCCCCCGATAATCGATGAATCAGATTGAAAAAATATATCATTTATGTTTTCGATGGCGTATTGGAATGCCTAGTCGATATATCTCGTAGAAAGTTCCGGATTTACCGGCTTACTCGTGCGCATGCCCCGTGGGATAAGGTTTATTGAAAAATCAACAAAATCACCAAATTTTGAATACGTTTATAATTTTAAACACATTTATTTAATAAGAAAAGTATCCATGGCTATTATATTATAATACTTATACAAGTTTTGTAATATGATCATTTGTATTTCTTCTTTTCATTGTCGAACTATAGGTAGCCTTTTTGTTCTGGAAAATGACTAGTGTTGGTTGAAAATTTGGAAGTGATTTGTTTCCATGTAGATTATTTTTAATTTTCATTTGGGTCATCTTAGGGAAGACGAGAGTACTTGACTAAAGTGTAGCGGTCCATTTTATTCGAATGCTAGCTGATGAATAATCTGATCCTTACGTTGTCTTATTTATAATAGTTGACAATTACGTTAGTTACATAGCTAAGAGAGTATTCTAGATTCTGTGTTTGATCATTTTCAATCTTCGTTTTTAGAGGTCGTAGCTCTTTTACGCAGAACCATCTTTAATATGTGTAAGGAGAGTAAACAGGTATAATTTTCCCTTTGAAAAATTTAACTTTTAATTTTGGATCGGAATCAGTATATTCACGATGTAGATATAAAACTGTGAATATAAAATATACATCCATAACCAATTCATTTCGGAGATAATTGTCAATGGTGATGCGAACACATTTAGCAACATATTGTATAAAAACTTTGAGTATGGAATGACTAACATTAATCTTTACTTTTGTAGCAAACCTATTAGTACTAAAACTAGGATTTCTTCCTGAGTAATTTTATGACAAAGGCCCATTAAATATTCAGATAAGTTTTTCGTTTTTTTATCCTTTGTCATGTACCATATATCTGTCAATAAGGCTATAAAATATTCAATTATTTTGAGATCATTCGTTAATAGGTTGAAAATGTTAAAAAAATGGATCAGCTCCGCACCTTCGTCAATGAATGACTGTACATAATAATCCATCGCTGTTTGAACCGTAGAATCATCTACATTGTATGGTTTACTAAGATATTCACACAAGCAGGCTATAGCCCGACTTTGAATGTTGTTACTTAATGAATTCATAATGTGTCTGATGCTGCTGCAGACGGTAAATAAGTTGCAGCAAATGAATCGCGCTCCTTTCGTAACGTCAACTGAGTAATGGAGAGGATGAATGATTCGCTCAACTTATGAATGTCAGAAAAAACTATAATTTTTATAGTTATATTTTTTATTTTTTTTATTTTTATTTATTCTATAATTTTCATATCAAGTTTTTCTCGATGAAGATCAATCAATGTATAAGTTTCTTTTAACTCAGCTTTCAATTTTAAAATAGAATCTTTAATATTTTCAATCTCTGTTAAAAGAATCTCATGTGAAGTTTTCAAATTAACTTCTTCAGCTCCTCTGAGCTTGCGTCCAAACACACCAATGCTCATTGTTAAAATGAATAAAAAAAAAGAAATGAATGGATGATAAATAGTAAATTAAAAATGGTTAATTTCTTTAAGTTTTTTTTATATTGTAATGCGGTGGATTAGCTGGTACAAAATAGATTTATTAAAGAACAAATTCTCACAATGCAGAGCTAACCGCCACTCCGTTAAACACGTATAAGTATACGTGTATTCGCCTTTACGTTTGATACTTTCGTTCTAATATCTCCTTTCCAACAGAGTTGAACTCATCGTAAGTCACCTGATATGTGACACTCGTTCTATCTTAGGTGTGAGTGACCTAATGCTTATTTCACCTAATCCCCTAGATGAAATCGGTTTAAAGTTTAATCCGTAATAGATCCGTTAAACTAATAAGAAACGAAATGACGTAATGCGAAAATTAATATCGTTTATGACTAGAAAATTATAGCCTTTGAAGGGCCAAAAGACTAACGCACGTGAATAGGATTTTACAATGATTAACAATAATACGGGGAGGGAGAGAGGGAGAGGGAGAAAGAGAGAGAGATAGAGTTTAGTGGGCCACTCTATTTTTTAACGTCCCTTTATATAAATAAGAACTTCGACAGTGTCAGCTGCTAAGCAACCAAGGTCTTATATAACAAGCGGATGGCGATTGTATGGTAAGTTTCCCATATTCCAATCAAGCCCATGGAAGTTAACTGTAAGCCATAAATTTTCAAGTTTGGATTGACTGGGAAGTTCTTCTCAAGAAAATGGTGACTTGAAAATCCAATGTGCGGGTTCAATATTGTAATTGACATCTATCAATGCAAGTTCTTTAAAAATTGGTTGATCATCGTACTTGTATATGAACGATGATTTCCATGCCAAATCTACAATGAAAAAAAATTATACAGAAATATAGTTTAAATCAAAAGTTAGTTCATTAGTTGAAAGTTTTTCAATATCTTATTAAAGCATTACAAGTACCATGATCACTGTGCTCGACCGAATGTGATGAAGCATCGATTTTGACGCGCATTTTATACAATTACCCCCTTCCACTTTGCGTACTTTTTTTAATATATGTCAGTTCCTTTTTCATATATGTTTGTAACAGCGCGATAATTAAAATTCGCTCACACGTCTATGTCCAAACAAGAGTCTTTATGAACGCGGTTAAGTTCTTTTTATATGCTACAAGAACTCTAGCTCCGAGCGAATATAGTTAAGTCCCTTTAAACGAGCTTGTATGGCATGCGACTATTTACCGCCAAGACGCTACATGACTTATACTATAGCCTTTTTTCTAATGCGCACACGGCTAACTTTCATCTCTCTCTCTCTCTCTCTCTATTATCGACACTTAGTCTCTACAGCATGCAAAACAGAAAAGAACTTTGAATTGTGCGCCTATGAAATGATATAGCTCCATTAACTATGTCGCACGCTGAGAAAGATAAGTTTTTGAGTCACATGAGAACTTAGACGTGTGAACGTAATACGGTATTAGCCGTGGAGCAGTGAGAGAGAGAGAGAGCTCTCCTCCCAAGTTAGCCATGTAGCGCGTGGCTATGAGCTGTGCTTTCTCTATCTCTCTCTCTATCTCTCTCTCTCTCTCTATCTCTCTCTCTCTCTCTCTCTCTCCC